ATTTTCTCTCTCTCCCTCCTTCACTTCACCTTCACACGTGCAGTTGTACTTCACAGTTTGAGGTTTTCTGGACCAGATCTTATGCAGATGTTTTTCTTTTTGTGTATATTCCACTTTGTTTTTTTATCCTGACAGGGAAGACACTGAACTTTATGTCAGTTTTTGTCCATCACATCCACACATCACTGAATAATTTCATTTTCTTTATCTTTTATTCATGTATGACTGATATATTATTTGATTTGATCCTAATCTGTTTGTGTTTTATTGTAAGAAAAGATTTGTATCGTGTTTTTCGACACCACAGGAGCATCATGGGTAAACCTGAGCTGCTCTGATCTCTGGAGCAGGATGAATCTGGTGCCTCTGGGAATATTCACACACAGATACATGTATACACTACTGACAGTGTTGGGCAGTAACAGATTACATGTACTGGAGTTACGTAATCAGAGTACAAATTCTGAGTAACTGTATTCGGTTACAGTTACAGTTTCAGTGAGAGGTAATTGGATTACAGTTACTTTGTTGAAATAAATGGATTACACAGAGGTATTTTCCTGTTTTCACATTTGGGGCTAAATCCCCCTTATTTTTTTTATTTTTTTTTTCGTAATTCCACTCAATGCCGGACACTAAACTAGGTCTAAGCCAGGTCTAAACCAGGTCTAAACTAGGTCTAATCCAGGTCTAAACCCAGGTCTAAACCAGGTCTAAACCCAGGTCTAAACCCAGGACTAAACCCAGGTCTAAACCAGGTCTAAACTTGTTCTAAACCAGGTCTAAACCAGGTCTAAACTTGTTCTAAACCAGGTCTAAACTAGGTCTAAACCAGGTCTAAACCCAGGTCTAAACCAGGTCTAAACTTGTTCTAAACCAGGTCTAAACCAGGTCTAAACCAGGTCTAAACCAGGTCTAAACCAGGTCTAAACTTGTTCTAAACCAGGTCTAAACCAGGTCTAAACTTGTTCTAAACCAGGTCTAAACCAGGTCTAAACCCAGGTCTAAACCAGGTCTAAACTTGTTCTAAACCAGGTCTAAACCAGGTCTAAACCAGGTCTAAACCAGGTCTAAACCAGGTCTAAACTTGTTCTAAACCAGGTCTAAACCAGGTCTAAACTTGTTCTAAACCAGGTCTAAACCAGGTCTAAACCCAGGTCTAAACCAGGTCTAAACTTGTTCTAAACCAGGTCTAAACCAGGTCTAAACTGTCTAAACCAGGTCTAAACCAGGTCTAAACCAGGTCTAAACTTGTTCTAAACCAGGTCTAAACCAGGTCTAAACCAGGTCTAAACTTGTTCTAAACCAGGTCTAAACCAGGTCTAAACTAGGTCTAAACCAGGTCTAAACCTGTTCTAAACCAGGTCTAAACCAGGTCTAAACCAGGTCTAAACTTGTTCTAAACCAGGTCTAAACCAGGTCTAAACCAGGTCTAAACTTGTTCTAAACCAGGTCTAAACCAGGTCTAAACCAGGTCTAACTGGGTCTAAACCAGGTCTAAACCAGGTCTAAACCAGGTCTAAACTTGTTCTAAACCAGGTCTAACCAGGTCTAAACCAGGTCTAAACTTGTTCTAGGTCTAAACAGGTCTAAACCAGGTCTAAACTAGGTCTAAACCAGGTCTAAACCAGGTCTAAACCAGGTCTAAACCTGTTCTAAACCAGGTCTAAACCAGGTCTAAACTTGTTCTAAACCAGGTCTAAACCAGGTCTAAACCCAGGTCTAAACCAGGTCTAAACCAGGTCTAAACCAGGTTAAACTGTTCTAAACTAAACCAGGTCTAAACCAGGTCTAAACCAGGTCTAAACCAGGTCTAAACCAGGTCTATCTAAACCAGGTCTAAACCAGGTCTAAACCAGGTCTAAACAGGTCTAGGTCTAAACCAGGTCTAAACCCAGGTCTAAACCAGGTCTAAACTTGTTCTAAACCAGGTCTAAACCAGGTCTAAACTTGTTCTATACCAGGTCTAAACCAGGTCTAAACCAGGTCTAAACTAGGTCTAAACCAGGTCTAAACCAGGTCTAAACCAGGTCTAAACCTGTTCTAAACCAGGTCTAAACCAGGTCTAAACCAGGTCTAAACTTGTTCTAAACCAGGTCTAAACCAGGTCTAAACCCAGGTCTAAACCAGGTCTAAACTTGTTCTAAACCAGGTCTAAACTAGGTCTAAACCAGGTCTAAACCAGGTCTAAACTTGTTCTAAACCAGGTCTAAACCAGGTCTAAACCAGGTCTAAACCAGGTCTAAACTTGTTCTAAACCAGGTCTAAACCAGGTCTAAACCAGGTCTAAACCAGGTCTAAACCAGTTCTAAACCAGGTCTAAACCAGGTCTAAACCAGGTCTAAACCAGGTCTAAACCTAAACCAGGTCTAAACTAGGTCTAAACCAGGTCTAAAGGTCTAAACCAGGTCTAAACCAGTCTAAACTTGTTCTAAACCAGGTCTAAACTAGTCTAAACCAGGTCTAAACCAGGTCTAAACTTGTCTAAACCAGGTCTAAACCAGGTCTAAACCCAGGTCTAAACCAGGTCTAAACCAGGTCTAAACTAGGTCTAAACCAGGTCTAAACAGGTCTAAACCAGGTCTAAACCAGGTCCCAGGTCTAAACCAGGTCTAAAGCTGCATGGACATGTCTCCTCCTCTTCTATCAATCATATTTTTTATTTGGTTCAGTAAAGTCTGGGCTTTTCATTGTCTTTTAGCAAACAAAACATCTTATGTCTTTGCTTTTCTACAGCAAATCAAATAATCCAAAGTATTCAGATTATGTTACTCACTTTAAGTAATTTCATGGATTACGTTACAAAATACATTTTGGGGTATGTAATCTGTAATCTGTAGGGGAATCCATTTTAAAAGTAACCTTCCCAACACTGACTACCGATCAAAAGTTTTAGAACACCACACTTTCCAGATTTTTACTTTTACTGTTGAGCAAAACATATTCTAAACTTTTGATTGATGTGTGTGTCCTCCTTTGGCAGATTTAACAGCTGAACACACTCGTGGCTCGTTCTTTTTACAACAGAAATCTTCAGAAAGTTCTTCCCAAGTCTGTTGCAGAAGTTTCCATAAATGTGTGGCACTTGTAGGTTGCTTCACTCTTCTGTCCAGTTCATCCCAAACCAGCTCCATGGGGTTTAAGTCTGGAGTCTGGAGTCATGTTTTCAAGTTTACCATCTTGTTCTTTTTTCCTGAGGTAGTTTTGGCAGAGCTTGGACTTGTGTTTTGTGTCTTTTAGCTCTTTTTTTAAACCTCTGTCTGTTCAGTTCCTACCTTTGTACTATTTCAAGCTCTTGAAATGACAGACTTGCACAACTTGAATTGCAATAAATAATTAAATAACTGGAGAAGCTACATCAGATACCAGGAAAAACAACAAACATCTCAGTCCATAAAAGTGCAGTACTGGGAACAGCAAAGATACTGCGCAGAACTCTCAGGCTCCCAGGCCTCTGGTAGACGACCCGAGTAGAATGAGGGTGAGAAACCTACCATAGTGGAAGGTGAGAAACACATCATTATATATATATATATATATATATATATATATATATATATATATATATGTTATATATATATATATATATATATATATATATATATATATATATATATATATATATATATATATATATATATATATATATATATATATATATATCAAATTTTGTTTTTAAAGTGCTCCTCACCTTCCACGGTGGTTGGTCAGTATCTTTGCTGTTCCAGTACTGCACTTTTCTGGGCTGAGATGTCAGTTGTTTTTCCCAATATCTGCTGTAGTCTCTCCCAGTTTGAGGGTTACAGCCCTGAGTGTCCGATCACCACAGGCACCACTGATGCCTTCACCTTCCAAACCTTCTCCAGCTCCTCCTTGAGCCCCTGGTATTTCTCTAGTTTCTCGTGTTTCTTTTTCCTTAATATGTTACCATCACTTGGTATTGCGATGTCCACCACCACAGCTCTGCTCTGTTGCTTATCCACCACCACTATGTCTGGTTGGTTCACCATCACCATTCCATACCATACATAAAAAATTTTAAAAAAGTCCTGGTTTGAATTTCCTCGAAAATTTAACTAAGGTATCCATTTTGTGTACATTCTATGAATCTATACTATAATAAATGTCTCTAAGTAACAACTATACAATACATTTAGGTCAACAAATTGAACCAGCAAGACATGTTTTTTGACTTTTGCTCCAAGCATTCGAGCAGCAGAAAGCTCCAGCTGAGTGATTTGTCTGTAAGATAAAAGCCGTTCTCTCACAGTCAGAGGTTGAACTTAGAGTCCTGCAGCGGGATCCAACGCAAGGAGTGGGCGGGTGGGATGATAAACTACAGCCCCACAAACTAACTATGAATGTAAAGTAAAATATACAAATGATCAATGTATGCTTATCATACATCATTTGTGCTGGATATTTTATTTGGCATTAATAAAAACATTTTAAGCACCATAAATTTGCATATGTGGTCTAATCTGGCACACATTTTAGACCAGGAGTCCCCAACCCCTGAGCCGGGACCAAAAGTGCGAACCCCCCCTCCTATAGGCCTTGTGGACCGGGCAGGACAGGTCTAAAACAGGATTTTGCCAGGATTTAACCATTGTCTGATACAAAACTGATCCGTGGTGCAAAAAAGGTTGGGGACCACTGTTTTAGACAATTCCATTCTGCTTCTCCGTGTTTGATAGAGCTTAAGAAAGCGAACGTCCCCATCTTGCAGGATTTGTGGGCGGGAGTGGGACTGAAAATTTTAATTCTTTGCGGGTGGGAGTGGGACTGCACTGTGCAGGCAGGAGCGGGACTAAACATTCTGTCCCTCGCAGACCTCTAGTTGAACTTATTTCCAAAGGCATATTACCATTTTTTGGAAGCTGTAAGACCTGCAAGTAATATACAATGTTATTATACGTAATACACTGAAAAAACGGTCCGAGAGGGGTTGCTCAAATTGCAAAAACAAATTTGACAATAACATCACATTTTTACGTTTCTCTGTCCAGCATGTTTAAATCTTACAAACATCGCTTGATTGTGGCCGATGTGAGACCTGCATGTTTTAATCAGGTTGAGGAAACATGACTTTATTATAATCTCTGGTGAGGCTCCTCCCTCTGGAATTCTCCTCCCCAAAACTTTTGGAGGGAAAATTCAAATGTAACAGGACACAGGACAGTTCCAGGAGCAGAGGACACACAGTGTGGAGCAGGAGGATTATGAGAACTGATCTGGAGGTAAGACTTTTCAAAGATTTTATTATGTGCTTCTCCGGCCTAGAATGTCGTCATTGTTAAAACATGTTTGTGTTGTTTTATTTGAAATTAGAGTTAATGTAAGGACAGCTTGAAACTAATTGTTTTTGACTGTCCATCAAGAGTGTGACACTTGTACTAAGATTTGAATGTGTTGCTTCCAGAGTCGTCTACAAAGAGTGACGTCCAGAGCTCTGCTGGAGCTGTGGGGAAGTTCATGAATGTTATAGTTGATGTTTCAGAAAAAAGGAAGATATTTGAGAACCAACAAAACACAGACCACAGATGAACAAAGTAAGTAAACCAACTAAAATGATTTTAAATTTTTTTCAAAATGAACTTCCTATTGAAACTGTTATCGTACTTGTACAAGGTGATGTGGCATTAGGAGACTTTATACCAGATGCCCTCCCTGTTACTGTGTTTAGAGGAAGAAAAGCAGCACATGGTGAGTTTTGTTTCTGCAGATACACTTCTAATGTTCTTGTTCTTCTGTTCTGGTCCATTATTGTAGTAATAAGTACTTTAAGTGTATTTAAACATGTACAACAGAGTAGATCATCAGAATGTGATCATCATGTGTTATTCCTGTGTCCACAGGCAGAGACCAGAGCTTCTTCACTGGAATAAATCTTCACACTGTCCAGCTCCAAACTGTGTGTCTCTGTCCCTGTGTCTCTGTGTGTTTGATTCTGTTTAAGACAATACAGAACTGTGGAAAACTAAAGACTGTTTTTGTATTCTTTTACAGAATTAGATCAATTAAATTTAATTATACATACTTATACATTTCATGATAAGGTACCATAAGATAAATATGCATATTCAGCATGATTTGTTCAAATTTCATCAACATGAAAAAGTGATGTTCATGTTCTGAGAAAAATATGTGTAGAGGGGTTCGAAAAAAGTTTCAAAGCCTAAACATAATTTTATTGCGTGCAACCGCTGTCCATAACTTTTTTACGCAAATCCAGCAACTTTTTTTTTTCAGTGTATATTATTATTATTCCATATATGATTTGAATCTGATTGATGGACACGTCACAACAGTGGAACAAGCAGAAAAATCAAACTTTGTTAAATCCGGTTGTCCACAAATGCACAAAACTCTTATCTTCTGCACAGTGTTCATAAACTAAACAGTATTGACACTAAAGATACACTTTGTTGTATTCCTGAGGAAATGTGACCTCTGCATTTGACCCGTCCCAGACCAGACCAGACCAGACCAGACCAGACCAGACCAGACCAGACCAGACCAGACCAGACCAGACCAGACCAGACCAGACCAGACCAGACCAGACCAGACCAGACCAGACCAGACCAGACCAGACCAGACCAGACCAGACCAGACCAGACCAGACCAGACCAGACCAGACCAGACCAGACCAGACCAGACCAGACCAGACCAGACCAGACCAGACCAGACCAGACCAGACCAGACCAACCAGACCAGACCAGACCAGACCAGACCAGACCAGACCAGACCAGACCAGACCAGACCAGACCAGACCAGACCAGACCAGACCAGACCAGACCAGACCAGACCAGACCAGACCAGACCAGACCAGACCAGACCAGACCAGACCAGACCAGACCAGACCAGACCAGACCAGGACCAGACCAGACCAGACCAGACCAGGACCAGACCAGACCAGACCAGACCAGACCAGACCAGACCAGACCAGACCAGACCAGACCAGACCAGACCAGACCAGACCAGACCAGACCAGACCAGACCAGACCAGACCAGACCAGACCAGACCAGACCAGACCAGACCAGACCAGACCAGACCAGACCAGACCAGACCAGACCAGACCAGACCAGACCAGACCAGACCAGACCAGACCAGACCAGACCAGACCAGACCAGACCAGACCAGACCAGGACCAGACCAGACCAGACCAGACCAGACCAGACCAGACCAGACCAGACCAAGACCAGACCAGGACCAGACCAGACCAGACCAGACCAGACCAGACCAGACCAGGACCAGACCAGGAGCAGGACCAGCAGGAGCAGGAGCCAGGACCAGGACCAGGACCAGGAGCAGGAGCAGGAGCAGGAGGGAGCAGTAGCAGGAGCAGGAGCAGTAGCAGGAGCAGGACCAGGAGCAGGAGCAGGAGCAGGAGCAGGAGCCAGGAGCAGGAGCAGGAGCAGGAGCAGTATACCGGCACAGACACAGACAGCCCCTGTAGGTGGAGTGTGAGTGTCTTGTGGTGGTCCACGCTCTAAAGGTTCACAGAGTTGCTCCTGCAGAGTTTGAGGAAGTGCGCTGGATCCTCTGTGTTTGTGTTACATCAGAAAAACTAAAGGACTTCTGCTCCACTGTTCTGCAGCCTCAGACCCCCTCCCCTCCTCTCTCTGCTGCAACAGGAGGTAACACACACACACACACACACACACACCCCTAACCCTAACGTCACATATTTGACAGTTCTTCAGATAAACTATAAACAACAGAACAAGTTGAACAAACTCTCCGTTTCACTCCAAATCACTAAATCACTTCAATTCTTCATCCTCGTGTCACTTCTGAACAACTCGACCTCGACCTCCGGAGGGAAACGGAGCCACACAAACTCTTCTGTGTCGTTGTCCTCAGACTCAGCATCAGTTCCAGTTAGGGGTGTGCAAAAATATCGATATATCGTATAATTTAATGTGATGATACAGTATCGATATCGTGGGCTGCTGTATCGATATATCACCCAGAGTAGTTTTTGGTTTGTTTTACTAAATTATTATGATACAGCTCTACATTTTTGTTGTTTCGATTCTCTCAGAGTTTCAGGAGAGCTCCGACTTTGTGTGTGATTTAGTTTTTTTCAATAACTAGATTTAGAAATGATGAAATGTTGATATATTTTAACATATTTAGAATAGTTTATTTATTTTGTAGTCACAAATATAAAACATGTTGTAATACCGGCGCGTCTGAATAGAAACGGCGCTTTTTGTCACAAAGATATTTTACAGAACATTATTCAGCATTATTCATTCACTCTACACCTGCTGATGTAAACTACTGTTGTAGCCACAGCTGCCCTGGGGCAGACTGACACAAGCACGGCTGCCATGGCAATCGGCGCCATCGGTCCCTCTGAACACCACCATCACTCACACACACACACACACACACCACTTTCATACGAGGCAATGTGTGTGAAGTGTCTTGCCTAAGGACACAATGATTGAACTGATTGTGGTTAACTGTCCTTGACTATCAACTGTTCATGGACCTGGAGCAGGTTTTGTGTTGATGGAGGAAACCAGAGGAAACTCATCCAGACACGAAGAGAAACACAAACTCCACACAGAAAGACCCGGGTCACCTGGGGATCCAACCCACAACCTTCTTGCTGTGAGGCATGAGTGCTAAACAAAAACAGAGTAAATAGAGACATGTCGTAATACCGGACGGATGTCGTAATACCAGCAGGTCTAAACCAGGACTAAACAAGGTCTAACCCAGGTTTAAACCAGGACTAAACAAGGTCTAACCCAGGTTTAAACCAGGACTAAACAAGGTCTAACCCAGGTTTAAACCAGGACTAAACAAAGGTCTAACCCAGGTCTGAGCTGGGGTTTCATCTAGTTTGTCCCGTCTTCCTCCTCCTTCATCTCCTCTTCCTCTCCTCTCGCGCTCTCGTCCTCGTCTTCTTCTTCGTCGTCGTGGAGTTCGTATTTGTCCTTCAGTCATGTGAGAAATTGGTTTCTCGTCTTCGTGGAGCTCTCCAGCTCAGCGTGAGCTTTCAGCTCTTCACGCATCTGCTGGATTTGCTCTTGCAAATGTGTTTTCTCCTGTTCGATCTTTTCATGTTCATCAAAGAGATTCTCCATCTCCTCCAACAGTTCTGTGATCCTCTGTCGTTGTCTCTCTGTCTCTCTACGCTCATCCGATAACCTGTTCTCCACACTTTTCAGATCTTCGGACATGCGCTTCTTATAAGATTTTAAAAAAAATTCCCGGAGGGCCTGAGGAACCGAATCCTGTTGTCAATGTTTCGAGCTCCTCCTTCAAATTCACCTTCTCTTGGTTGAGCTGGGTGACAGCTTTGAGGAGCTCTGAATGGGAGTCTTTCAGCTGAGCATGTTGTTCATCACAGCTCATCTGAACTTTCTCCAGCAATTCGTCTTGCAAGTGGATCCTCTTGGTCTGTTCTTCTAAGTGGCAGTCGAGCATGTGAGAAAAGGTTCGGATCTTCTCCTGTAGCTTCTGGTTCTTGACCGAGGACTTTTCGATCCTTTTGCACAGATCTTTGTTCCGATTGTTTAAGTTTTGGATCCTCTCATTGTGTTCCTGGACCTCATTGTTTAATGTTATTAGGTTATTTTTTTTAGACCTAGAGTGTTATTTCATACCAGACCTCATTGTTTAAGTTTCGGATCCTCTTGTTTTGTTGCTGGTTCTGATTTTCTAAGTTTCGGATCCTCTCGTGAAGTTCCTGGTTCTAAGCCTCTAAGATTTGGCGCTTGACCTTAGGTCGGGATTTTCTATGAAAACGCCAGGGCAGATCTTTGTTCCGATTGTTTTTTTGGATCGTCTCGTTTTGTTCCTGGACCTCATTGTTTAAGTTTTGGATTGTCTCGTTTTTTTCCTGGACCTCAATGTTTAAGTTTTGGATTGTCTCCTTTTTTTCCTGGACCTCATCGTTTAAGTTTTGGATTGTCTCGTTTTTTTCCTGGACCTCATCATTTAAGTTTTGGATTGTGTCGTTTTTTTCCTGGACCTCATTGTTTAAGTTTTGGATCGTCTTGTTTTCTTGCCGGTTCAGATTTTTTAAGTTTTGGATCCTCTCGTTTTGTTGCTGGTTTCGACTGTTTAAGATTTGGATCCTCTCGTTTTGTCGCTGGTTTTGATAGTTTAAGTTTTGGATCCTCTTGTTTTGTACCTGGACCTCATTGTTTAAGTTTTGGATCCCTCTCGTTTTGTCGCTGGTTCTGATTGTTTAAGTTTTGGATCATCTTGTATTGTTGCTGGTTCTGATTGTTTAAGATTCGGATCCTCGTGTGCAGTTCCTGGTTCTCAGCCTCTAAGATTTGGCACTTGACCTTAGGTTGGACTGTTCTAATAAAACGCCAGGGCAGATCTTTGTTCCGATTGTTTAAGTTTTGGATCCTCTCATTTTGTTCCTGGTCCTCATTGTTTAAGTTTTGGAACGTCTCATTTTGTTGCTGGTTCTGATTTATTAAGTTTTGGATCGTCTCATTTTGTTGCTGGTTCTGATTTATTAAGTTTTGGATCCTCTCATTTTGTTCCTGGACCTCATTGTTTAAGTTTTGGATTTTCTGGTTTTGTCGCTTGTTCTGATTTATTAAGTCGTGGATCGTCTCAAGCAGTTCCTGGTTATGATTTAATGAGTTTTGGATTGTCTCATTTTGTTGCTGGTTCTGATTGTTTAAGTTTTGGTTCCTCTCGTTTTGTTCCTGGACCTCATTGTTTAAGTTTTGGAACGTCTCATGCTGTTGCTGGTTCTTATTTTCTAAGTTTCGGATCCTCTCGTGCAGTTCCTGGATCTCAGCCTCTAAGATTTGGTGCTTGACGTTAGGTCGGGATTTTCTAAAAAACCACCAGGGCATTTTTTCTGTTTAAATATGCAGCAGAGAGAGAGAAAAGCTCTAGTGTAAACGTGCAGTGGTAGCTCTAGTAGCAGTACACGCAGTAG